GGGACGGCGGGACATGGTATCAGCATTTCCATGACTACTACCTTTGCGATATTCTATAGAGAAGTCGTAACTTTGGAGTCTCTCAATCCACCGTACCAACTGTTCTTCTGGGATCCTGAATTGTAGAAGCCATTTTAATGATCTGTCCTCACCTGAAATCGCTGGCCATAAAAGTACTTATGAAAATGTTTGATGCACTTCACTAACGCCAGTAATTCTCTCCGAGTAACACAATAATTTCTCTCTGGCTTGTTTATGGCTGTAATACGCAATCACTTTCTCATGCCCATCAATGACTTGTGATAGAACGCCCCTACTGCAAATCCACTAGCATCCGTATCCAAAAAAAAAAAACGCTGATCCTGGAACAAGGTATGCTAACATTGGCGCAGTACTTAGCCGTATCTTCAAAGTTTCGAAAGCCACTTCCTGTTCTTAATTCCACACAAAGACTCTGTTCTGTTTCGTGGGTTCATGAATTCTTTTCATAAGCTGGGCAAATGCCCTCTGTTGTCATTTTGTGCCCTAAGTAGCTTACTACCTTTTCAAAAAGGGAGCACTTCTTTGGACTCAGCTTTAGACCAGCGTGAGCTAACCGTTGGAAAACCTCTTCCAAGTTCTTAAGGTGTTCATCAAAGCTTTCACCCAGAATGATGATATCGTCGAGGTATACCAAACAGGTCTTTTAGTGTAATCCTACTAATACGTGGTCCATTAGTCTCTCAAAAGTAGCAGGAGCGCTACATAATAAAAAGGGCATTACGGTAAATTGCAATAAACCATCTCTAACGCTGAAAGCCGTCTTTTCTTTGTCTTCTTTATTGACCTCCATTTTCCAGTAACCACTTTTAAAATCAAGTGTTGAGAAGCATTTTCCGCCTGATAACGTGTCCAACGTGTCATCGATTGTAAGTAGTGGATAACTGTCTTTCTTCGTTACATCATTCTACCTTCTTTAGTCTACACAGAATGTCATGTTGCCATCATTATTCTTGACAAGTTCTACAGGTGAGCTCCATGCACTCTTTGATGGTTCGATTACGCCGCTTTCGCTTATTTCACGTATGGTCTGGCTTACAACTTCACGTTTTGCTAAAGTAACGCTTCAAGGAGCCTGGTGTATTGGTCTTGCATCACCTGTGTTAATAAAATGTTTCACAACTTTGGTTCTTCCTGGTCTGGCATCGTCTTTATCAAATATGGATGAGTATCTGAGAAGAAGCTGTTTAGCCATATTTATTTGTTTGCCTCTAGTTCCTGGATCCATTCGTTTATTTCGCTCAATATGTCATTTATGTTAAATAAATGCTTGTTGAGCACGCAATGTCGGGTATAGAACGCGACCAGTAGCCGGAATTTGTTCCTCGGGAGATTGATTACGGTTTTAATCCGTCTGAGGTTATAACCCTCCATTAGCAACTTGGCATGGCGCATGCCTTGGAGATGTTGCCAATGTCTCTCCCTGCCTGCTCTTTCCTCTTTACAGAGCAGCTCTTTAATGGTGTGTGGACCAACCGCTACGCATGGTTCTTGTCCTACCATGTTTGTAGAGGCTGCAGAGCGGGCCAACTCGTCAACCAGTTCATTTCCTGCTATACCCCTGTGACCAGGCACCCAGATGAGGTGCACTCTATTGAGACTTGATAGGCTGTTCAGCCGTTCTATACACTCCTGCACTAGTAGTGATTTGACCTCAAAAGCCGAGATCGCTTTAAGTGCTGCCTGTCTATCGCTAAGTATGGCGATACTCTTATTCTGCAGTAGGTCCAGCGTGGAATCGTTCCATTCAGCCTTACTGCCAAGGGTAACCCTGAACTTCCTAGCGTAGCTTACTGTTTTGGTAATGCTGTCCCTTGGAAGAAGGGCCAGTGGCATTGCGTCACTTGGGGCCTTCATCTGCTGGGACGAGATTACCTTGTCTTTGCCAAACCCTTCTGCTGACATTTGAAGCAAGGTCTGTTTGGCCGTCTGTTCGATCACTATATGTAACGGTGTTAGCTCCAGCATTACTTCCAGTGCTGCAGTCGGACACGTACGCATCGCGCTCGACGCGCAGATGAGGGCAAGTCGTTGCAGCTTCGATAGTCGAAGTCCTACCAAGGTCTGCGATGTTATGATCGGTCTCACAATCATGGTGTACAACCATCTAATAATCCTTGGGTTGCAGCCCCATGATTTCCCAGCAAGTCGATTGCACACCATGAGCACATTCGTAGCTTTGGCTAAGGTCAGGTCTATATGCTGCTTCCACCGTAGAGTGGAATCCAGCGTGAGGCCCAGGTACTTTACCGTGCTGGCCATCTCCAGCTCCATACCACCTAGGGATAGGTTTCTGAGGCCTGGCAGCAACCTGCGTCTGGTAAACGGTATGATTGTAGTTTTGGAGAGGTTGATATTTAGGCCAACCCCACTACACCATTTCTTTGCCAGCCTCAATCCCCTTTGTACAATATCGCAGAGAGTGTCTGCGAGATGGCTTTCGTTCGACCCTGGTTCGAATTAGGTCTTCTTGAATTGTCTCTGGGAAGTGCGCAAGCAGAAGGACCGTTGCTTTCTCCTCCGCGCTGCACGTATAGGTCCCATCCGGTCTTTTAATTGCTAGTACTGTGTCGGTCTTGCCCCTAGCCAGAGCCTTATGCAGCCTTTGGCGTAGAGGAGACGCTTTCACAGAACTTCCTGAAGCTCTTCTGCTTTGTTGACCTAATCTCCTTGTTGTAAGCAGTTAGGCCGCACCTGTAGTTCTCCCAGTCCCCGGTACGCCTAGCCCTGTTAAATAGCTTGCGTACCGTTTTCCTTAGGTCTGAGAGCCTACTTGACCACCAGGGACAGCTGCGGTTCTTGGTGGTCGTCTTTTGGGGGCAGCTACTATTATATGCCTCTATAATGGACTAATTTAGCGCAAACAATCTGCTCTCCAGTCCAGAAGCAGTGGCACTGCCGTCCAGCTGCCCTCTCCTATTGAGATTTATTTCAAGCGTATCCCTAAAGGTAGCCCAGTCCGTGTTTTTGGGGATACGCCTGGGAAGGAGTTGCCTGACCTCTACCCCTAGTGCGTATCTTATGATGCGGTGATCTGACATGGAGGGTTCCGATGACACTCTCCATTGCCCGATCAGCCCTATCGTGAGTTCGTTACCAAGAGTGATGTCAAGCACCTCCCTTCTTACACTGGTTATAAAGGTGGGTTCACACCCCACGTTTACAATACCTATATTCCTACTTACTACAAATTCAAGTAAAGACTCACCCCGTGTACTGCAGTCTGTGCTGCCCCATTCCGTGTGATGGGCGTTGGCGTCACATCCCAGGACGAGGGGCAGGTTCGTTACTTTTTGCCTGCACAGCGACCAGATCTTGTGTTTGGTGTAGATACTTTTGTGGCCTCAACAATCCACCACTTGTTTGGCCCATAGTATTCATCTATTTCTGCCCAAATAACTGCTTCTGATGTTGGTGGAATCTGCTGGCTCTCTGTTGTTATTACTCGTCTAATGTTGTTCTTATTATTGTACCCGAACATAAGTGGCACTTCCATATTTCTATAAGTCGTAATCCTGTTCTTCATGTCAATTTTGATTCCTTGATTCGCTAGAAAGTCTACTCCAATTATGACAGTTATGTAACATGACTGCCTTTCCAATTACAATCTCGCACGTTACCTTTCCGAGAACCGCAACTTTGCCCCAGCTAACGGTCTCACTTCTTTCTCAATCAGATCAGATCGAATTATGGAATGTGATGCGCCCGTATCCAGTCAGTATGCGCTTTTTACCGTCTACGCATCCACTAACGGTGACGTTATTTGTATTCCTGCTTATTTTTGAAATTGCGATTACAGGGCATTTGCTTGCGAGAGTCAACCCGTGTCCTTTTCGGCTGGTTCGCTTTAGTTTAACGATTGGTTGGATTTGACATTTGCTTGATCTTCCTCAATTTTGCGTTTTCGTTCAACTGGATTATTGGACTGCTTACAGTTGCGCGCAACATGGCCACTTTTTCCGCAATTGAAGCATTTAACCACTCCATCATTTTTCTTACGCGTGCAGCTACTTTCACTTCAGCATTCCAATTATAAGAAGATGCCGTCTTTTAGAATTAATTTATGGAACGGAACCGTGCCATCAAAGGATGGAGGTTTTACCTTGGCAGAAGCTAAAGACATAATTGGCTGATTTAATTGTAGCTCGCGGAGACGGCCTCTTAATTTATCCACTTTAGTTTTAATTTCATTCCGCTCTGCCGAAATCTGTGAGGACACTTCTGCTATTTGTGATGTCACCTGCGATATCCGTGCATCCTGCTCTTTCAACTGTGAGGACACCTGTGCTGATATACGTGCATCTTGCGCTGCGAACTGCTCTTTAAACTGTATTGATATTTGTGTTGACATCTGCGATATTGCAGCATAAATCATGTTCATTTCCACAAGCTGTGACAAGCATTGAGTCTCTTCCTTTTCTTATATCTTCGTAGTCTTTTCTTTTAATTCCAATTGAAACACATATTCATCAACATCAAGGATTTCTGCTTCCATAGCCTCTCGTTACCGTGATTGTAATTCTCACTTTACTCCGTTTGTGGCTAAACCACTTTTTTCCAGCTCATTTTTTAGTTGTGGAACCTTCAGAGCGTTAAACTTTGCTATTTTCAAACAATTCTCTCTTAGCGAATATATTTGACAATCCCATTTCTGACACCAGTTGTAGCGGAGTTCTCGATAAATCATCTAACTACAACTCACTCTTGAGTTCGATCACTGGATTGTTAAATTAAAGTCCCATATAATGGCTATACACTTATCTCTGTATCTAAATCAAACAACTTAAAACTTATTGCTTGATATTCGAGCTAATAACTAATTGCTTATAACTTAATTGCTTTTTACACGGCAACACTCTAACTAAAACTGTGTCTGCTGCACAATCTGGCAGCCCTTATAAAGTACAGGTTTAACAAAAGTTCGCTTTTACAACATTCTGGCAACTACGAATTCGCTGTCTAGTTGCTTCTGGCAGTTTATCATCGATTCTGATTTGTTCTGGTATTCGTGTTCGCCAGAATATTATAATAGTATGTAGAACTTGAAACTAGTCACCTAACCGTAAAATCGAATGTCAAGAATCGATTCTTGACCAATTTCAAAATGTAAACGTCGACTTCGAAAAATTTATTATTTAATGAGAAAATCGATTATCGAGAAGAATCGGAATCGAGTTTGCCATCTTTACGCTCATATTAGAAGCTATCGTACACAGTACATAAGTGATTCACTAGTAAACTTGATTTCTAAAAATATTTAAAAAAGTATTATACATGATATTAAATATTAAAAAAAAATGAGTCGTTCCAACGAAGATGGGATTAATTGGTTCCATTCGGGACTTTCGCGCGAAGACGCTGAAAAGTTGTTAACAAGAGGTAGTCAATAATTCTAAAGTAATAATTCAACTCATTATTGTGCTGTAATAAATAGGGCCATATGAAGATGGAATTTTCTTAATACGGGAATGCAACTCAGCAGTAGGTGACTTCGTACTTACTCTTTTACACCAGGTGAAACAATAAATTTAATGTTATTTGGCTAGGATTTATAATAGCATACTCTGACTTCGGTGCTAAAATGGGTATGGGCCTTGGAATATATATAGAGATAGCCGCGGGAAACTTATACTTTTCGAGATATTTACGTTTAAAGTTAAAAATTTCAACTAATTAAAGTAAAAGATTTAGAATGAATTATACTATTGTATTTTTCACTTTTATATCCACTAACACTAATTCGTTTTTAGAGATTTATTTTATATTATATAGTGCAAAAATAGATTAATTCAATATATAAATTATTGTTAAGTTCTATTAGTTTGCAAAATGTCAAACAACCTGTGTTACCTTATCGACATCTCTTGTAAATGAACTGAAAGAAATGAAAACAGAATACAGGAATTTTACTTTCCACTAAATTTGGTGCTTTATTACCTTAATATTGTTATTATAGCGGCAGAATACTGCCGAGTGACAGTCTTTGGCCGGTAAAAATCCGTGTTCGTTCCGGTTACGTTAACGGTCATGGGAACGTCTTTTTTTTTAAGTTTGACGCGATTGAATTATGAACAACCCAGTTTTGGACCGACCAGTGTTATTTTTTTGAAGCGTGGCCGTAGGACGCCGGTTCGGAAAGGAGTTCGACAATCTCCGATATTCGTCCATACCATCAAATCGCGGCGCAAGAGAAATTGTGACTGTTACATTTCTTCAGTATATTTTTTTCATAAGAAAATGCTTAACACGCTGAACTGGTAATTACAGCTAAGTGAACAGAATTTTGCAGCTACAACAACAACAACTAAGTGTCTTGAATATGTGAGATGTGCAAAGTATGTTGAATAAATTTTGAAAAATATACATAAATTATTGAAAAAATTCATTTTCCGCTGACGGATTTGTAATCTACGCATAAAAATAAGACGATTTAAAAAAAAAATTCATATTTGAGGCCTCCATAGTTGGGGCACCTAAACTATACATTTACCTAAATTTTCACAATAACAAAAGAGTTGCCTCGATAAATCTCGGTTTTGAACCGACCAGGGTATTACTTTGAAGCGGGGCCGTAGGGCGCCAATTCAGAAAGAAGTTGGACGCGAAAGGAATAACGACCACCCCGGTGTTGGATGGGCCAGGCCAATTTTTTTTTTAAGCGCGGCCGAAAGCCGTCAATGCAGAAAGAAGTTGGACTTGAAAGGAATAACGACCATTCCGGTGTTGTCGCTATCACCGGGGTGGTCGCTATCCCTATACATAATTTGAAAGGTCTTGACATAACCTACAAAACAACGCTATGCATGATTAGTTTGGATATTGCGTTTAACAGTTATAGACGTGTAAACATGGAGTTCACTAACGCCGAAATTCGCGCTATTTTAAAGTTTTCCTTCGTTCGGGGGATGGTACTCTATCACTTCGAACCGCGGAGGTTTCGACGATTCAGAGCGGGTGAAAACGACACCATGGATAAGCCAGCCGGCGGAAGACCTGTGACGACAAATACCGATCAAATCATGGAATACATCGAGTTAGACCGGCATATGGCATCTCGTGACATCGCCCAGGAGATGGGAGTTAGTCACCAAACCATTTTGAACCATCTGCAGAAGGCTGGATACAAAAAAAAGTTTGATGTTTGGGTGCCGCATAATTTGACGCAAAAAAGCCTTCTGGACCGAATCAACGCCTGCGATATGCTGCTGAAACGGAACGAACTCGTCCCATTCTTGAAGCGGATGGTGACTGGCGACGAAAAATGGATCACATACGACAATATCAAGCGAAAACGGTCGTGGTCGAAGGCCGGTGAATTGTCCCAAACAGTGGCCAAGCCGGGATTGACGGCCAGGAAGGTTTTGCTGTGTGTTTGGTGGGATTGGAAGGGAATCATTCACTATGAGCTGCTCCCATATGGCCAGACGCTTAATTCTAACATCTACTGCGAACAACTGGACCGCTTGAAGCAGGCGATCGTCCAGAATTGGCCAACAGGAAGGGTGTAGTGTTCCACCAGGACAACGCCAGACCACACACTTCGTTGATGACTCGTCAGAAGCTACGGGAGCTCGGATGGGAGGTTTTATCGCATCCACCATATAGCCCGGACGTAGCGCCAAGTGATTACCACCTGTTCCTGTCCATGGCGAATGCCCTTGGTGGTGTGAAGTTGAACTCAAAAGAGGCTTGTGAAAAGTGGCTGTTCGAATTCTTCGCAAATAAGGAGGTGGCTTCTACGAGGAAGGTATTATGAAGTTGCCGTCTAGATGGAAACATCATCGAACAAAACGGCGCATATTTTAACTAAATCCGATCACTGTAACACTTTTTATAAAGCATTGAATGAAGAGCAAAAAAGCGGAAGGGAGATACCTTCTAACCTTATATAAAAGAAAAATTAACTATAAATCGGGAAATTGTAAGATACAATTTGTGAAATTTTCACCTTAAAATGCAAATATCTCGAAAACCATAAGTTTCGGCGGCTATAATTATATATATTCTTTATCTGGAGAATCTCCTCTATCCAACCATCCTCTTAACCCTGAAATCGTGGGTTGGTATACTAAAGCCGACCCAAATATGTAGATATGGTAACTCTTATTATTTGTTAGTATGCCACCAATTTGTTATTGTGTGAAAAATATAATTTAACATAAAATTAAATATTAAATTAGAGCTATTTTTGCAATAATTATTACTTAGGCAATAGGAAAAAGCAATTTATTGAAGATTTAATTTAATTACACATCTAAAATTGTTGAATTTATGAACTTTAAATACAAATACCATAAGTCAACGGTAGTTATATATATGTATATGATCTGGAAACTTCTATCAACCATGCCCATTATAATCGGAATTCAGCGGGTATTATTCAAAAATTTAGTCTGGAATTTTGTTGACATGATAGCTTTGTACAAATTTTGACAGGGTACAGTGTGCCACTATCAGATACGAAGGCATGGCGGCGACGCGTTTTTTTCCATTGATGATAAAGTAAAGATTTTACATGGTCTGGAATCCCTTGTTGAGTTTTACCAAATGGCGCCCAGTGGTCTTCCAACGAAACTTACAAAGTTTATAAAAAAGGACTTGCCTCCCAATGATGCCCGTCGACATGGTAATACTAATTTGTTACATCGAGCGACCAAAGAGAATAACGCGACAATTGTCGGTGAGTTACTAAAATGTGGCTATCGCAACGTGGATGCCAAAAACCAAGATGGACAAACTGCATTGCATTTAGCTGCCATTTACAGCGATCAGACCATACTAAAACTAATACTTGGGTCTGACGTTAATGTTAATTGCATGGACGCATTTGGTAATATGCCACTTCATGTAAGCTCATAAATTTTGTAACATATGTAAATATTCATATATAAAGTAATATTTATATATATTTGTAGTATGCATGCCGCACCAAACCAGGTGCTTTCATCTATAATTTAATTGAAGCAAAAGCAAACGTACAAGGGCGCAACATTAAAAATGGTTATGTCCCATTACATGATGCATGCAAAAACGGTAATATTGATGCAGTAAAAGTACTTTTACAATCAAATGCACCTCTATTGCCACGGACAACTTCTGGAGAATTTCCGATTGATTTAGCTCGTGAAGCTGGAAAAGTAGATGTTGTAAAATATTTAAGCGATTACAAATTGCCAGCTGTACAAACTAAACAATCTCTATGGTATCACGGTACATTAACCAGAGAAGAAGCTATTGAAAGTTTACAAAGATTTGCGAAACGAAAGAATTTTGATGCTAATGTGATCAACAACAACGGACATCTTAATACTTCGAATGAAGAAATTAAAATTGATGCTTCAGGAAGTTTTTTAATTCGCTACTCTGATCGGTCTGGATTTGTTTTAACTCTTCTATTTGAAAGTCATGTTAAGAACTTCAAAATATCTCAACTGGTAAGCTATAATGTTTTTCCACTTTACCGGGTATTTAAAGAAAATTATTCATGAATTTCAAGTCTAAATATTTGTATATCGATGAAGGACCATATTTGCCAACATTGGAGCATTTAGTGGAACATTTTATGCGTTTTAATGACGGTCTACCAATTAATTTAAAATATGCAGTACCACCAGAACCCAAACCGCCGCAACCACTACTCTCTACCCTCCCCCGAAACAAATGCCATAACAAAAAATTAAATAATTCAAATTCATTAAATGAAAACATAGGCAACACAGATATTGCTTCAACTACTTGTATATCTAATAAAGTAATTTCAAAAACCCTACCGGAGAAAAAACGTAAAGAAACTACAAATTTGATGCTGAGTAATTTATTAAAAATGAAGTCGAAAAATGCCCCAAACTCTGACGAAACTGTTCCTTCTTATACGGACACACCTGCATCACTACATCTAATAGAAGAATTTCCATGTAAAGGTTTATCATTTTGTACAAACTTCTTTAATGCCGAAATTTCGGAAACTGGTGAAACCAATAAACCTTTTCCGAATAAAAGCAACGCTGATCTAAGCAATAACTCATCGCTGAACGAAATGTATAACGTACCTAGAAACAATTCAGCAGTAGAAGAGCAAATTGTCGATGAGTCTGTATTGTCCCACGACGAATCTATATTTCAGAAGAGCGTGATATATTCTGATAATTCCACAAATCGGTAAATATTTCTTTTCTAATATTATATGTAAATATGATCGAAGTTCTTAGGAACTTGTTTGTAACACCGAGCTTTTTTTGTAGTACCTAAAAAAAATAGAGATAGATATAGAGCAGCTATAGTATGCGCACGCTTTCAGCTCGCGAGCGAAGAAAGCTTCTCATGTACACAGCACATTGTTCAGCTATCGTTGATCAGACTTCAAACTAGCATTAATCATAAATCAGCATACTTACCTACATTACAGTACGTTTAACAGTTAATGGGGAATCGATTTTTTAATATGTTTTAAAAGCAAATTAGTATAAAAAATAACTAACTGAAAAGTAGTTTCTATTTGGATTTTACGCGTTCGAAACGTTTTCATATGTAGATAAATCAGCAAACAGTTTGCCCAACCCATACGCAAAATTGTAACGTTGACATTGGGTATAACTAATATATAGTTGTATATACTATATAAATGATCAGTATGACGAGACGAGTTGGATTCCAAGTGAATGTCTGTTTTATAAACATATAAAGTTGTTGTTGTTGTTATAGCGGCAGAATACTGCCGAGTTGACAGTCCTTACAGTCCTTGGCCGGATAAAATCCGGGTCCGTTCCGGTTACGTAAACCCTTAAAACTTTATCAACTAAAATTTCTAGAGAAAAAATCGGATGATATATTAAAATGTTTGTTATGTTGAAAACTACATAAATTGTGGTAATAATAATATGTCAGAAGCATTAAATTCCAAGCCAGAATGGGGTCAAAGGCTTCATAAAAATCACTTAAGAAATTTAACAATGGGCGTGGCACCTGGTCTTAGAAACTACTTCAACCAAACTTTAATTTTTTTTTACTTTCAACCAAATTTGGTGCTTTATTACCTTAATATTGTTGTTGTAGCCGCAGAATTCTGCCGAGTTGACAGTCCTTCGCCGGATATAGTCCAGTTACGTAGACCCGACTGTGGGGAACGGATTACCTTATTATTCATTTACTACGTTGGGAAAATGGCCGGCTACAACGCCTACTTCCCATATAAGACAATTTTGAATTCTAGATGATTCTGAAGTTACAATATAATGGATAAACAGTAGTAATAGTAAGCTTTTTGTTTTGACTCGACAAATAGTTACTTAATCATACTTTTCCACGCTTATAACGTAAAAGTTAAGTAAAACTCCCCGCTTTACTATTATTCTGTGTAAGTGTGTAGTAATAAATAACTGTTATTAAATAACTTTTATTTTTTAAGCGAAAAATAAAAATCAAATTTTAAAAGTTTATGACATATTTGTCTAGACCTCAAAAAAACAAAAAATATCTGTTACTACATCATATATCCGGCCCTTCCCTCATAATGTTTTTCTTAGTTAAAAATTTTGCAATAACTTTTATTTTCTGTCCCTGAATGCAAGTTTTCTTAAAAAAATGTAGTTTAGCGCTGAATATGAACGAAATTAATCAAAACCTCAAATACCGAATATATTAAAATTAGCATCTTTGGTTAAGTCAATACCACAAATATTAATTTGAGTTATTTAGGTAGATTTTAATGTGTCGCACACGAAGAAGCATATAGTAATGGAACTTGTTAATAATTAAAGTGGTATTCTGGCATAAATTTCAGGTAATTTTTGAAGTGTAATTATACCCTGAACAGGGTATATTAAATTTGTCACGAAGTTTGTAACACCCAGAAGGAAACGTCGGAGACCCTATAATATTAATATATAAATAATAAGCATGATTAGCTGAGTTTATTTAGCCATGTCCGTCTGTCCGTCCGACCGTCTGTATATATGCAAACTCAGTCACACTATATCCCTCAGTTTTTAAGCTATCGATCTGAAATTTTGTACTTGCCTCTTTCTCACTAAGAAGCTGCTCATTTGTCGGAACGGCCGATATCGGACCACAATGGCATATAGCTGCCATACAAACTGAACAATCGGAAGCAATTCCTTGTATGGTAAACTTTTTTATTTGACGTAATATCTTCACGAAATTTGGCATGCGTTATTTTCTAAGGTAACAATGAAATTCCTGAAGAAATTGTATTGAACGGATGACTATAGCATATAGCTGCCATACAAACTGAACGATCGGAATCAAGTGCTTGTATGGCAAACTCTTTCTTTGACAAGGTATCTTGTCGAAATTTGGCATGGATTACAATTTAAGGCAACAATGGAATCTCCGAAGAAATTGTATAGATCGGATGACTATAGTATATAGCTGCTATACAAACTGAACGAAATTAGGTCTGAATCAAGTTATTGGAAGGAACCTTTGTATCTGTGAAGGGTATTATAGCTTCGGTGCAACCGAAGTTAACGTTATTTCTTGTTTTTTTATAAGTTATTTATTAACATTAAAAGAATACAGGAAAAAGTTTAAAAAAATGTTAAAAATTTCAATAATTAGCAGCTGGTGAAGAGGGGGTCTCAAAACATTGGCACGTAATCATACGCACGATTTCACCCTTCCTAGCAATCTGAAACAAAAAAAAAGTATTAATCTAGAATAACGTCTCAATGTCTGCTTCTACGGAAAAGTAGGAAAAAACTTGTTTACGAAATGGCGACTAACTGAAAAAAAAAACATTTTTTGTACCACTTTTTTTTTAGCTTTTCGAATTTTGGGAATTTGGATAGTTCCAGACATAGGCAATTCTATAAAGAAGACTCTCTCAAAATTTCATTATTAAATCGGTCCAGTAGAATCGTGGGCATTGTTTTTAAAACGACAGTTTCGAGAAAAACGCTTTTAAAGTTTCCCGAACTGGCCGAACCAGTTTGGATGCCGGGTCAGAAAAATACCTTTAACTCCGAAAATAATTTGAATTTTGAAAAATCCTCTTGAGAAAACTCGTTTAAAATTTGAAACTTTGAAATAAGATATAATTCTAGACCAGAATACTCCTTTAAATAGGAGTTTTACAACAAAAATTAATTCCAGCTCCTATAGATATAAAGTGAAGCCGTAAATCGTCAGAGTTGTCAGGGGACTGTACGAACTTAATTAATTATTTATTTATAATGTTCAGAAATGGGTTAAGCGGTTAGGGGTAGTCAGAAATTTCAAAAAATCAATTTGTTTTTTCTTTGCATTTTCGTTAAGTGTTAACTTGAAAATATTCTCCGAAAATTTCAAGTTGATCCGACAATTACTTTTTGAGTTATTCGACAAACAACAAAGAGCGAGTGCAAGAAACTTTAAATGCGTTTTTCTCAAAACTATGTTTTTCGAACTGGTAACAACTGTAACTCAAAAACCGTTCAGTAGATTTTAATGATATATATACAGCTTTTAGAATAGAATAGAAGAATTAAAAATTTCGATTTTTTAAAACCAATTAACTGTTGATTTTTTCCCAAAAATCTAGAAAATAATATCCTGAGGCCGCCATTTTGTTAATTTTGAATGGTGAATCTTCAAGGACTTATGATTGTCACCGCAAGGACCTTTTTTAGAACTGGGTCAACACAGACAGCTATAACGTTCTGACTACCCCTAACCCCTTAAGACTATTATACCCCCTGAACTTTTTGGAAATTGTTTATTTGTAATATAAAATATATTTTTATTTGGAACAATTTCAGACATTACAAACAAACATATGAAGCAAACGAGCATCTTACAGAGATTAATTTACAAGGAAGTTCTACTCAAAATTCACTAGTTGCTTTCCCTGATTTGGAATGGTTTGACCCTTCATGTATTCCAAATATGGAAAAAGAAAATGAAATCTTTAGCTACTTCATTTCTCACGAAAACATTGAATTGGGAAAGTTAATTGGAGAAGGCGAATTCGGTTCCGTCTATCGAGGTTACTTGAAAGGGTCTGTTCTAGGAGTTACTGAAAAAAATTCTCATATGGAAATTGCAATTAAAACGTTACGTGATGAACACTGCCAAACTAGTAAGAATGAATTTCTACGCGAGGCCTCTGTAATGATGCATTTAAAGCACCATTGTATAGTGCAATTAATTGGGCTATCTAAGGGTGATAATTTAATGATGATACAGGAGCTAGTGCCTCTAGGTTCAATGTTATTCTTCATAAAAAAAAATTTTAGAAAAATTGATCCAAATCGAGAATTGAAACTATGGGCATCTCAAATAGCATGCGGTATATATTATAAAATTATAAAAAATTATGGCATGAACTAAATGTTTTTTTAGGAATGCAGTATTTGGAATCTCAACATTTCGTACATCGGGACTTAGCCGCCCGAAATATTCTACTAGCGTCATTTCATCAAGCAAAAATAAGTGACTTTGGTTTATCCCGTGCTCTAGGGTCATGTAATGATTTCTATGAAGCCCAGCATGGCGGAAGATGGCCGATTAAATGGTAAGTTTATTGATATAGATTATGATTTGATTAAACATTTTATAAATCTAAGGTATGCCCCAGAGAGCTACAAAAATGGAATTTTCTCACATTCCAGTGATGTTTGGTCTTATGGTATAATATTATGGGAAATGTTTTCATTAGGCGAGGTACCTTACGGTGAAATGCTTGGTTCTGAAGCTGTAAAGTTAATTGAAGATGGAAAACGTCTGTTGCAGCCCAAATTTTGTCCTAATCATGTCTACACTATTATGGAAAACTGCTGGAAATATAATCCAAAAGATCGGCCCACATTTAGCTTTTTGACCGAGGTTTTTGTGAAAGATCCGGACTACGAAAATATAATAGAGTTGGTTAAAGCAAACAGTATTAATTGAACTAAAATGTGTTGTGCTCAATAAATTTGAGGTTTTTAAAATAGTTTTGGCACATTTAGTAAAGCAGCGCGAGTAAAGGTGCAGTTCGGCAACAGAATACCAAATTGATCTTTTTGAGAGAATATCGTCTAGCTACTGCAGAAAATTTTGTATATCTATTAAGTACTATGAACCCTTATTGTAATAGGTAGAAGTGTCAAAGTCAGGAAACAGCTCAAGAGTTATTGTCTACAATATTTTGCGAATTTTCAAATTTGAATACATTAAATATTTTAAAAGAAAATAACTGTATTTTATTTTTCATTTATTTGTTACAGATTCAACTAAATAACTTACCAAAATAGATCTTCAAAAATCGTTGGTCTTTAAAAACTTTGTGCAGTTTTCAAGTAATATTTACTTTCACACTTTTTTTGTGGAATATTTAAAAAAAATTTACATTACAAATATACAATAGACAATTGAAACGTTAATATGATTACAATAATATTTATAAGTGTACCAATTGTGCTTAAGCGCTGCTTTATTATAAATTGGCGTTATCGACGTTCCTTGTCGAAGTAATTGAGAGCGATGAATATTTCTAACACTTAGTATTTTGAAATTTTGCGAATGCCAAAAGTTTAAGAAAAGGGATAAAAAACATTGAATTTTAATATTTTTTGAAGGAATATTTCGAAAAACCTTATTTTCACCTTCGCAACGGAGACGGAAGGATAAAGTATTGATTTGACGTTCCGTTTCGGGTTTCACGGAAACCAATTTTATCGGTTTTGTTATCAGAAACAAAGCAAGAAGATAGTCGCTGCCAGATTTAAAATGTAAGTTAAGACATTAATTTATATTATTACTAGCTTCGCTCGCATCGATTCCAACAAATAAGTATCAGATATCATTATATTAGAAACGGATCAATAGAAAGAATAAATTTTATTGCTTGGCTTGGAGTACTTACTTGAAAAACTTACTAAATGCAATGAATTTTCAAATTTTAAAATATACTTAATTGATAATACAACAAAGATTAAAATATATTTTACTATAACGAAAATAAATAGTTTTGAAATGTAACAATTAAAAATAAGCAATATAGATTATTAATCAAGGATATTTTTATAAACTATATTATACGTTTTTCGTTGGGTGCAAATATGTGTAAATTCCGGGCATTAGATACACGCGAACAGGCTACATATAGTTGACCATGTGAAAAGCATGACTTTTCTAAATGCACTCCTGCTACCTGTAATGTTTGTCCTTGTGCTTTGTTTATAGTTATGGCAAAGCTAAGATTGACGGGAAACTGAACTCTTTTAAATTGGAATGGAAGGTCAGTGGGAATAATTGGAATCCGAGGTATGATCACACTTTTTCCTTTACCAACACCTGTTAAATAGTAGCGCCAAGTATGTTCTGTCCCAATTTCGTTATCCGAAGTCGTGTTCCATTAAGCATTACTGGTACATTTAGTTTCAACTTAAGCTTATGAGATGGTGCACCCGATAGTTCAAGTGAATTTAACAACTCAACAGGATATGATGTATTTAATTCGGTTTCCATAATTTTTTCCAGTGACAAATATTTCATCATTTCCCCTTCCACCTCTTTTAAAATGTCAATATTGATTCTATTAACAACTTAATTTTTTGTTGCTAATATTGCTCTTGCGCACATCCACTAATCACTTAATTTCTTGAAAGTGATACATAACCTTCAGCATCAATATCTAAACAACCATCTCCAATTTTCAATAACATTTCAGCATAAAGTCCCGAATCCACGTCATTATGAAGATGCACTCTCATATTCGTTTTGAGACTGAGTTTTTCAACTCTCGACCATAGGCTTGATGATTTTAAGCATGCTTGAATTTCATCTGCTGGTGTTCCCCTCTGAATAACCGGAAGAGTTTGGCGAAAATCACCAGCCAGTAAAACTACCATTCCTCCCATTCTATCCGTACTATCTCGCAGGTCCTGAAGAGTTCGAGACATTGTACATTCATCCCACACTAAAAGCTTACATTCTCGCAGCATCCTACCTCGAGAACTATTTTTACTGAAACTACAGATGGGTGAATCTTCCTGTGCAAGATTTAATGGTACTTTCAAAACGGAATGTGCCGTACTCATAAAAGTCCATACAGGAAACTTTTTTATTTGGAATTGGCTCGTTCGGATTGATGACTGAAATATTAATATGATATCCTGATTCAACTTTACTGAAAATTAATGGATACTGCAAAGCGTCGTAAATTTATGAGTATCAGCTCCGCGCTTTAACGCATTATCATGTGCTCATAACACTATGTCTCGAGGTGAGTACGGGTCACCAGTAACCAAAACATCAACTTCATTGACTATCGGTGCATTATAACGCCTCTCATGTTCACCACGTGGAGTTCGATCAATTCCTGTGCAAGATTTAATGGTAATTTCAAAACGGAATGTGCCGTACGGCCGCCGTTTAAGAGCGTTGCTGCAATACCCGAAGAAGCTACTGCAACTGCTATTTGTCTGTTTTTTCTGATGTACAATACATTAATAATAAGTTGAGTAAAAACGTTTTTCCTGTTCCTCCTGGTGCATCGAGAAAGAAGACTCCACCTTTGCCGGATTCTATTCTATGTAAAATTTTACGGAAAACATAAGCTTGCTCTGGAAGTAACAGAGGGATTAATTCTTCAAATTGTTGCTGCAGTGCTATGAAATCATAATTTTGCTCTCGAGCAATTTCATTGTTAAAATCATCCTCATTATCTCTTCGAGGACTGTTCATTCCAAAATCATCTAATTTTTTTCCAACCATTGTAAAAGCCTTGTTTTCAATTAGAATTAGCGTATGGTTGTAAATATGTTCATTGAAAGTCATATCTGTATGTACTTGCTGAAGTTGATGTAAATTATCTTCAGCCATGTATTCTTTGTACTGATCCCAAAGAGTTTGAGGGTTAGAAAGACCGCAAAAAGGTAAAAGTGTAGCGTAAAGTTCCCTTATTCTATCTGGTGATCGACATTGTATGGCTTCCTCCATAGTTTCGTCCCAATGATTATCATTTTCTAACCATCGTCGTGCCTCACATGCTTCTCTGTATGTTTGACATCTCTGACCATTAACAATTTTATGTTCTGCAATGCTAGTTGGACCCCTAACAGGGTGTAATAACATACGCAGACAAAAGCATTCGAAATTTGTAACGTGCACGGTATAGACACGACCAAGAGCATCTGATACTTTAACCCCAGGTTGATTTTCTACAGGTGTACCTTGAATGCGACGTTTCCATTGTTTTTTTTGAGGTGTTCCATCTATAATAACGGGGGACCTCAGAGTACAATAATGTCTTTGCAAAATTATCATTCTGACAAAGCTTGAAAATCGCAGTCAGTGTTATCTCAGGGGGAGACAAAATTCTGTCTTGAACTTGATACTGACATATCTTCCCGCTTGGTAGGTTTGTATTTCATTGGGAACCTGCACAGCATCTTTATTATGCAAATTGAAGATTGCCTGATCACTTCCTTTATTGATATACTTGCAAATATACTTAATCGCACGTACAGAATTACAGGCTTCAACATTTATGTGGGCGTTGAAAATTTTACACAAAATTGGCGAATAGGGAACAACCCAGCTATTATCAAAACTCTTTAATTCCCCACTGTGAGTCCGAATGTTAACATGTTTACCACCATCAGCAGGCGCTGTTCGTCTATATAACGGGTAACCCTTATCATTATGAAGGATTACAGGTAAAAGTTACGAAGGGGTCAGGCCTTCCATAAGTTCGTACATAAGTAAATGCGTTTTGAGTGTACTCATGCAGATAACGGGGACTGTTCACAAAAGTGGACGGCAGAGTAACCATTTTGCCAATGTCATTAGGTCTAATATTGTCATTTGCGTTAATCGCATCTTGTAGATGTATGTAATTTTCAGGTCGTAATTATTTCTGATTTAGAGAAAAGTAACGAAGACGTTCACTCTCTACTTTAATATACATATCTACTAAAAATTGATTGAAGAGATGCCTTGTACGCAGAAGAAGATTGAAGTCATGCTCTCGATGCATCATATAATACGCATAAAAGTCCATACAGGAAACTTTTCTATTTGGAATTGGCTCGTTCGTTGTCGGATTGATGACTGAAATATTGAAATGATATCCTGATTCACCTTTACTGAAAATTAATGGATACTGCTAAGCGTCATAAAATTTATAAGTATCAGCCACGCGCTTTAACGCATTATCAAGTGCTCGTAACACTATGTCTCGAGGTGAGCACGGGTCACCAGTAACCAAAACAGCAACTTCATTGACCATCGGTGCATTATAACGCCTCTCATGTTCACCATGTGGAGTTCGATCAGCATGAATGACAACTTTGTAATTATCTGAATGCCAGTTGTCTACCAAATCATTGTGACTGTGTAACATTCGTTGAATTTTTAATAATATTTCTCTTTCTACTCCATCTATATAGCAACGACGATTTTCATTTTGTTCATCACCCATAAAATACACCTGCAAAAATTTATGCTGATCATTATTTCCTGGAAATAGTGATCCAATTTGATGATATATTTGTCCTTGTACAGTAAAGGTTGGTGAAAATCCAGGCATTCTTATCACTTTATCAACTCCGAAGGATGACATTTTAAAGCAAGAATTATACTTCCTTATTTTACTTAGAAATCGTTTTGACTCATCTGTGACACTAAACAATAAAGTTTTTAAAGGTTCTTCTGGTTCACCAAGTAATGGAAGTGAAACTTTACCAGTGCTGCAGCACATTCCAGCAGTTTCATCTTTCCATTTAAATGCATCACAATACTGACATTTTTTATCCATTGAGCCAATAACAATGAAGGGATGATTAGAATACTCAACTAAAGGATCATATTGCAAACCAGTACCATTAAATACACACCAATCCTTAGTCATGAAATTTCGACGACGCGTGGTCCTTACTTTTGCATCATGAATTCTTCTTGCCTGCAATTGTTTTTGCGTTTCCGTTGCTCTTCTAGCTTCCTGCTGCTTAGCTTGTCTTTCTGAACGTACTCGTGTCTGATGAGAAGTTTCAGCTGCTCTCAAAACACATTGCCGCTCTGCTTGCTGTTGTCTTCTCAGCTTGAACTTCAGATTCTTGATTTCGTGCAACTTTAGCTTTACGGACCGACGAAAAATGTCTTGATAGCGTAGATTTCCGCTTTCCAGGCATTTTTAAAGTATATAAGAGTTACTAATAATATTGGTGTTATTTCTCTGATTTACGTTTT